CCGGCGCCCTGCAGTCACTGTGCCCAACAGTTGTGTTTATCCTACCTTCACGTTTAGCGCAGAAGTAATTAAGGTCTCTTTCAAGGCCACAGGCTCCACCTTGTCAGCCCTTAACTCAGGGTACCTTTAGGTATCCCAAATTTCAGGAATTATGTCAATGAATTGAGTCGACATGTCAACGGATTATGCGCCAGGTAAATACCTGGTTCTTCAGTGTGCTGAGTGTGACCTACTTTGAGCTTTGAGTAAGAGATGAAGTAGTAAGTCACTAGACAACTACTTTTTTGAGTTGACATGATCAGAAAATTGACAGAAAAAGTTTTCCAATTATCCAAACAAAGTTGTTGGTAGTTGTGTGACTGTTTGATGGATCAACGATAACAGTTTAGTCATAGAGATATTGAGTTTGAACTAATCTCTCTGAGTTGAAATCTCTGTTTTTATATCTTTTTTTGCATTTGGTCTTCCTTTTAGGGAAATCTAAGGCAATCCTGTGACTTACACCGAGATGTGCAGCTTGGCATGGGACACTTTTTTTTGAGTTTTGAATGTGTTCCTAAAAGAGTCAGTGTTGGATTAAGCAGGATGTTCAGAGACCAAACAGAACCCAGAGCGGTAATGTTTGGTACTTGGCATTTCATAAAGAATGTCTTTTTGAGGGGCTCAGAAAATCTGTTGCAGCCATTTTCTTCAGAGCCTGGACATCACTGTATGCAGCATACTTTCTTTTTTCTTCACTAGTTTTGGTTCTCTTGTGACTACCTTCTACCTCAGAAGTTATTTTATAAATTAGAACATGTTAAAATCCTTCAGAAAGAGCAATTGTTTAATAGTATATGCTTTTAAATTAGGCTCCAATTTTATGACTGTGAATAACTTTTTTTAAACTCTGAAAAGTTACGGATGTCTGTTTTGATGTTGGTCTCCATTTTTGGAGGAGGTGGGCCTGGAGTAGTCAGGAAGTTTAAGAAAATAATACTGGAATAGAATCTAAGGACTCCTAAAACTTTTTTTTTTTTTTTTTAACAAAGGTATGAGGGTGCTGGTTGATGCTCGAGAGAAGCTTCATATTCCTTGGGGAGATAACTCAAACCAACTCAATGGAGACAAGATGATGTCATTTGACACCCGTTCACCCTTGGTGGCCCAAGGACTGGTGGAAACTCGAGTTTTTTTACAGTATCTTCCTGCTATAAGAGCATTATGGGCAGACAGCGGCATACAGAATGCCTATGACCGACGTCGAGAATTTCAACTGGTAAGAGATTTGTTCTTTTAAAATGTTGTGGTTATATTTTAATGACATTTATTTTCTCAGTGTTACACATCCTTTTCACTGACTTCCACAATATAATTTATCTGTGCAGAATTTTAGCCTGAGAAAATGGGGTTGCTATATGGATGAGCTTTTTACTAAGCAAGGTGAAAATAAGGTAAACCCCATAGATTTGGTGACGCTGTTAGAGTTAATTGGTCATTTTCCCTTTTTGAAAGTAAGATCATAATGGTTTTTGTAGGCACTTCTACTTTTGTTCTTCCTTTGACAATACCTCCCAGTGAAAGCAATAATATTCATTCTTCTAAAAAAAATCAACCTTTTATTCTTGGACTAAGAGTTCAATAACTGAACTAAGTTCAAATGTGCTATTTAGTCTTTAGAGGTACTCATTTTATGATACAGATTAATATAGTGAGAGATTAAAGTCCTTAATAATGTTTAACAGTCACTGTGCTTTTCATATTTTTGCATGTGTTTTTTTTTTAAGGCTTCTAAGAATATTTTACAAAAGGAACTTTTTTTTTTCCCCCAAAGCAATAATTTACTGCACAAACTAAACACGTGTCCTATTCCATTTGGGCTCTAACAACAAACTACTATAGACTTACAGCAGAAATGCATTTCTCACAGTATTAGCGGTTGAGAAGGTCAAGATCAATCCGTAGGCAGATTCAGTGTCTAGTGAGGGCCCACTTCCTGGTTCATAAATGGCCATCTTTCTGTTATGTCCTCACTTGGCTAAAATGTATCTTCTTAAACAAAATAACCTTAGTTATTTTTTGGATCTCTGTTTCACATAGGAAGCACCTAGATTTTATTTTATATTTATTTTTTCTACTTTGTCTTAAACAAGACTATCCATAAAACTTTGTAACTGTTACAGAGCATTGAAGAGAGGGTGGAAGAGAAAGGATCCAATCTAGGTTAAAGATTCAAAAATAATAATTGAGATAGATTTCTTTTTTAATCAAGTGTTTTGTAATTTAATTGTGAATGCTTTGATTGTGTTCTGGGTTTTATTTGCCGAAGACTGGAGAGATCCTAGGAATGATAGCAATCTAGACTGTATACAATTTGGAGGTAGCTCAGATCTGAAGTGTTTTATTGTATTATGATAAAAAAAAAAAAAGTGACAGTTACAAATAAAACTGCTTAGAAAGTTGTTTGGTGATGTCATCGGCATTAAAGTGATCCACATTTATGGGTGTGGCTACAAACTGATGTACAGCCAGCAGTCTTTGCTGTTACAGTTTGTACTCAGAAGCAGTGGTAGCTATTAAAAGTTTTAGAAAAGTGTTCTCGATAACTTTGTATAAAACTGATACTTAATCTCTGAATTATGGCTCTTGTGTATCACATAATCTAGCACTTGTTTATGTGCTGTCTTATATAGTTCTCTTCTTTGGTATGTGTGTCTTACCAAGTAATTTGTTCATTGATGAAAGGCAGAGATTATCTCACATTATTGTTAAAATTGAGTAGCTGGCAGCATTATATGTTGAAAATTATTAATTTAACTTAACAAGTGACCTCCATCCAGTTCTTAGACTTGTGGTTAGTTTTTGTCCTTTGGTCAGTATTTGTTTTATGAGTTTTGAGTCTTGCATAAGTTCCTGCACACAACCCTGTCTCATCTCCCTTCACCCTCTCTCCTGCTTTTAGGTGCTGCTCAGTCTCCTTTCTTCTTAGTCATTTTCTCAACAAACCATACTTTCTACTCTTAGGGTTTTTCAGGATGTTGTTCTTTTCCAGGTTGGGAAGAAACATCATCTGTAAAGGCATACAGTCCATATTGACTGGATGAATAAACAGTTGTATTCTACAGCTCTCTGTAGGAAAGTTCCCTAAGTCCATGTAGTTGAAGGTGGGCTTCACTGACATGTCCTGAATTTGGACATTCACATCTTAGTTTCATAGCAAGACTGTCTTGTCATCATTGTTAAGAAAGCATTCCTTAGTATTTGCCATTAAGAACAAATAGCTAAGCCCTGCTGGCATTGCTCAGTGGTTGAGCGTCGACCTATGATCCAGGAGATCGCAGTTTGATTCCTGGTCAGGGCACATGCCCAGGTTGTGGGTTTGATCCCCAGCAGGGGGCGTGCAGGAGGCAGCTGGTCAAAGACTCTCTCATCATTGATGTTTCTCCTCCCTCTCCTCTCTCAAATCAATAAAAATATATTTAAAATAAAATAAAAAAAAAGAACAAATAGCTAAAACCACTCAGGATGAGGACCTGAATGTTCTTGACTTGAGCCAGCTGATGCTTCAGGAGCAAAGACAACATTGGGCAAGGAGAGACAAGTTCTAGAAATACTATTTTCCTGATAAAAGTAGGGAAAAGGTGTAATATAGGGCAAAATCTACTTTTAAACTCCTGGAGCACAGGGATTTTTCCCCCCCGTGTATCTTTAACATAGTTAATGGCACCTGACACCTGGTGCTCAACTATTATGTTGAACTAATGATTCTCATACTTTCTGGATGTTCTATGGTGTTTGGCATGGTGTCAGACACTGAGAAGGCACTTGGCTCATTTAAAATTTTCCTCAAAGTCCTATTTGGTTCCTTCTCTTGTCTGCATACAGCCCATCCTCGAGTCCTGTCTTCTCTCCCCTGCAACATCTCTTGCATCCACTCCCTCCTTTGCTCCTCACCATTGTTGTCCTCGTGCCTCCTGCTTGGGCTCCCCAGTGATCTTGGTCAGATGTAGCATGGGTTTGCTCAGGAAGCTTTGCCTGTTCTCCGTTGCCTCCAGAACAGAATTCAACCTCTTTATTTGAGTCAGGACTCTAGCTATCTTATCTGTGATTCCAACAATATATTCAGTATATTTTATTTGGCCACTGCACATACTCTGTAACTCCTCAGTTCCTACATACCCTGGTTTGCTTCCACAGCTCTTCACAAAGTTCCTCGTCATGGTTTTAATTACCATGTGTGTTCCTTAGGCCTCCTTCACTCAGAAGAGTGGTCATCAAACTAATGTGGCCAGTGCTGCCTCTTGAATCGGACTCACTGGAAAGCTTGCCTGATACAGAGCCAAACAGCAGGTTCCGAGACGTCATCACAAGGGGATCTGACTCAGGAGTTTGGGATGGGACCCAGTGATCTGGGTTTTTAGCAGACAGCCACAGACAATGTGGATGAGTATGTTCCTTGGCCACACTGAGGATCAGTGCTTTAGGATCAAAACTTTCCCCAGTCACCCCAGCTGGAATCCTCCGCCTGTGCGCTTGGTAGTGGGCCTGTGTTCTGACCCTCACCTCATCACGTGGGCTTGAGTTATTTGCATTCTTGTTTGGTTCTTCCGCTAAAGTAGAGGCTCCTTGGTATGACTTGTTTGTCTTTTCCTCTCACTAGCATAGGGCCTGACATTTATTTCCTCATTTTTTAGACATTCTGTATAAGGTTATTCCAGAAACAAAGAAACACCCCACATTAAGTTCCTTGCAGGAAATAGGATGCTAATTTGTTAATTTCCAGAAGATGGGAAGTCCTTGTATTACAGAATAATTTTTTTTTTTGCAGTGTATAATAATGTATGTTCTTGAGTCTTGGATAGAAAAACTAAACATCGGGAAATGGGAGGAGTTAGCAGGTAAAATTAGCCATTTGTGTTTCAAGTAACAATTGAGTATTAAACTTATTAATGCAAATTGAAAGGCAAAAAAAAAAAAGTGTCAGCTTTCAAGCCCCTCTATGGCTTTTTTGCTTTAGATGAATGACTGCCCTGTTATTTAGTCTTTGGGACAAGGGATAGGATAATGAAATCACAGCTTAGGTTTTTAGCAGTCTATTCATTTGTTAGCAATAGCTTTGGGTGCAAACATGAAT